ACTTTTAAAATAATATATTAATATGTATAACTGCTTTTCAAAGTAAGATTTGAAAAAGATCATCCATGATTTAATATAATTTTTTTTAGAAATATGTGCAGAGAAAATATCAATGCATAACTATACAATTGATTTTCTAGTAAATATACCCAACAATAAGTTAATTCGCGTTAAATCGAATTTTCAATGAAAAAGGTTATGTAGGTACTGAGAGCTTTACTTACTTGAGAAATATCTTCTCAGAAGATATCTGCACTCAAAAAAGATAGATATTTTCGTTTTCGGAAAACACACCCGCCTCTTGCATGAAATCAAAGATAAAGTAGGCCAGAAAGTTTGTGGTAGTTTTACATTCCTATGATGTATATTATAGCTAATATTATATGTACAGCATTATAAATGCGAGTACTGGATTGTAGAAAAGTTTATTGCAAATAAGAAGGTGAAAGTAGTTTTGATGATAGGCAAATTATACCCAATTCACATATTTCTGTGACCTTATACCCCATATTTGAATTCCAGAAACTAATATCTTTTTAAAAACCTCCAATGTGATGTTAGATTTTTATGATTTTTAATTAATAAGTAAAAATTATTTAAAGTTTTTTAATAATCTCAAAGATAATTTTGCATAATCTGTTAAATGTTAATAATCATTTAGGAGAGACAATAAAACACTGCACTATAGAGCCTATAAGGCTCTTTAATATAATACTAAAATCTAGCGGGTTCAAAATCCCGCTAGCATGATCATTAATAAATGGAATTATTAAAATCAATTTTAGAGGAAAATATAATTAACTATACATAGTATATATTACTCAGGCTGAAAACATATGTAAATAAAATTATAAAAACCATAAGAACTGTTTTTAACCCCATTGGAATAAATTTCAAAAGTTTTTGTACTAGTAATTTTAAAATATTTTAAAATGTCAATGATCCTTTTTGTAAAAAGTATTTGTAACGCGTTAAAAAATTCCGCTCAACTAATCTGCATATTTAAAAAACTTATGTTTGGGTTGAAAATCCCGTCTTTATAAGCGAAACACCCCAGTGAGTGCGTGAGTAAGTGTGTAAAGCGGTGGTCAGTGCTGGGGTCCTTTTTGTATGCTTTGGCTCATTATTTTGGTTGCGGCTGGATTAGTGCGATTGCGTGTCGCATATTAGTTTAGTGCTTTGAAAAACGGAAATAAATTAACATATTTTAAGATAAAATTCATAACTGACCATTGACCACTGACCACTCAGCACCACTTCACCGGTTTTGTTTATACATTTATTGAAAAAGGATTTAACGCGTAAACTAATATGTACGCGATTTAAATGCTATCCTTTCAGTTCAATGATTTCTTGGAAAAAAATATTTCTATACTTATCGAAAGAAAACTAGAAATGTTTGTTTAAAAACAATATACACTGAAAAAAATTTGTTATTGTATAAACCATAGATGCTGTTGTGTAACAGCACATTCTCTTAGTATCAGTTCAGACTTTCTCTAGTGATAATTAATTATGATAATTAATTTTTATAAATAAGGACGAAAAATGTTCTCATAATTATACTGAACTATATATGATTTTGTTAGTTTTGATATATAAATACATCAACATCAGGTATTATTTATAGAGTGGTAAGCAGATTTTCTGCTGGCTAACAAATCAATTTTGTTCTGAAAATAGTGGTATTAAGTTAACTGATATGCGGCACCTACTTGTATGATAAAATATTACTACAAACTGAGTATAAGTCACAGATTTAATGTGGGTGTTATTGGAAGACTATCATAATTCGGTAACTGGTAAAACAGTCAATGATGAATCATATCTTTTATTTATGTACAAATATGGTAAATTGAATGGTTTGTGGTTTAATCAGTATATTAAAACCGCATTTCATTTAGGTAATTATCTCCAGCAGTTAAAATTTAGTTCAGTAACACGATTATACAATTTATATCTTAAAATTTAATCAAATTTTATATAAAACTTATTTTGTATAGGTATTTCGTTTGCACTTATAGAAAGATATTTGCTTATATTGGAAGTATATTTAAAAGAATTTGGACATGAAAGCCGGGCGAGATTTAAAGATCCATAGCGATGCCAAATCTGAGTTTTAAAAGGCAGTTAATTAAGATATACATTACTTAGATTATCTGCATCATTAAAGAATTTTAATAGTTAATTCTCCACAATATCAGGGACAAATTTTATTCTCTTGAAACCAAGTTACTTCAATTGTTAGTCAAATTTTTAAATGAGATTCTCAAGAACGGAGTAGATGCTGAACAGTTTCTTTAACATCACATACCTTGTAGTTCCTTACTTCAAAGAATTTTATTCAAATTTTTAAGAGAGCTTTTCAAAAACAGAGGAGACGTTTCACAGTTTCTGTTATATCGCAATTTTTGTAGTCCCCAACTTTAAATGTAAAATTAGAAGAGAATTTGACTTTTCTATATTCCAGCCTCCTAATAAATCAATAAATGTAATGAAATATATAATTAAAAATGAATTACAAGAACCTAGTTGTCCAATTAGAGTACATTGTTTTAAACTAGTATATTTAGACTTAAGAATTAATTGTATTTATAATTATAACACATATATGTTATGTCTTTAATTTATATTTAAGGTGACATATTCAAACTTCCCATTCCAATAATTTTTACAATATATAATTGTATCAAAGAAGATGACTTCGGTAAGTATAATATACTATTATCTGAGAGGGGAGGTATGTTTTTAATATTCACTACTTCCCCATTAAGTAAATCAAAAAAAAAATGTTTGTTTGGCTAACTCTATTTTAAGTAATTCTTACTAGTGAATTCTCTTAATATTATTGATCAAACTTTTGTGGTAATAAAATTATTGTCTTAGCAAAATTAAATTAAGGTGTGAAAGCTATTAAAATGAGATAACTTATTCGGTTTGTATAATATGTATTTTATATCTTCATTTTAAATAAATTAAAAAAAAGTTTAGAAGCACTAAATCTTAATCCAATAGAACACACGTAGCTCTTCGAATGAAAACTAAAATATTAAAAAAAAAAAAAACCAAAAAAAATTCAAGACTTCTTAATATGAGACGGTGTTCTATTTCTAGTTTAGATCAAATCTGGGCAGTCACATAGTATTTGACTAAACATCTTATCTGCCTACAAACAGTACGAAAATTCTGTCTCCCTCAAGAGATATGCCATAGTGATGTTAACAGCATCTGCTCTGCACAAAAGAACCAACCGTCTTATCGTAGTTGTAAGGATTTATCACCTTTTTATCGTGGCGGTTACTCAAAGTAGAAAAAACATCTAAAATGTTAAATTTTTTTATATATAGAAAAATTTTTAAGTGACCTTAAGGGGTAGTTCTCAGAGAACTTGATTTTATGAATATTTATACGCTTTTTAACGACAACAGTAGTTGTATTTAATAAAACATCTTAATATATGATATATATAATTACTCACTAAAGTAGCATTTGTTAAGTTCCCATAAATTAAAGAATAAGTGGTTTATCAGATTTGCTTGTTCTTCTGTTATAGAGCTTCGATCAAGTTCGATAGGTTCTATTGAAGTTTATTTCACAAATGTTCGTTGTTGTACAGATTTGGTCCAATTTCACAGTATTTCATAGAAATTTATTTTGTAGCCTTCATAATTTTTATTGATCCTCATAATATTCTTTAGATATTCTATATAGCTCTGCAAAAATAAAATACTATCGTTAATTAAATATATTTAGGTTATATGTTTTAATATAACTTAAAGAAAACAATGAAAACATTTTAAAAACATTGGCATTAAAGTATTGGCTACGAGTCATTAAATACATCTGAAATCGCTGAGTTATCAAATTTTTGGAACTATGAATTATCTAATCTTGTTTTTGGATATTATTGGATAAGAACTTTTATCACCCAAGAATTTTTGGCATATATGTTTATGTATTACCATACTTTTTATTGTACGCACGATAAAAGTGATGGTTAATTTATAACATTATGTATATGGAATAGATCAAGAATTTTTAAAACAGATTTAATAGATTGACAGCGAAAGTAATAGATTTTTTTATTGTGATGTTTTATTTATAACATTATGTATATGGAATAGATTAAGAATTTTCAAAACAGATTTAATAGATTGACTGCAAAAGTAATAAATTTTTTTATTGTTTTTGATTTAAAAACTTTAAGAGACATGGTGGGATTAGCCTTTTAGTCTAAAACAGTCACATTTTGTTAGTCCCTTTGAGCCTTTCCATTCTCAAAGAAGTCCATTCTCATTTTAAAATTTAATTTTTGACTGCGATAAAAATGCATTGGATATTAATTGACATTGACCCAGTAAAACTTTTTTAAATTTCGTCTTTTCAAATCGAAGAGTAGAAGTGAAGACATGTAGATCACTTATATACTATATAAAAATTTTACATGAGTATATATTGGTGTTTTTATGACTAAGCAACAAGATTCTAGAAAATGTAGAAATTCCAGAGAGCAGGTGAGGGGAGCTTATGAACGAAAATTGTTTACATGTCAAAGCTTAAACTGAATTGTAAAGATGATGCTGCTGAGGCATCTATTTATACGGAGAAGATCAAGAATAAGTGCATAAAATTATTATGTGCTTGACATAATAAGTATATAATTTATTTTTATAATTAATATTAAAAAATTTAATTTATATTTTTAAAATTTATTATTTCAATATATTATTTGTATCAAAATATGTTTTATGGAATAAATTTACAAAATAGTTCATCTCTATTTATGTACATCTATAAATTGTTTATCAAAATTATAGTAAATTTATATAAACTAAGGTTTTTGGTATTTTCATATCACACTGTGACTAATTGTAGAACTTTTAATATAAAAAATATATTTTTATCATTTATCTAATACTAGTGACTAATTGTTTGTTTCTTTTGTAACATAGAGTTTAAGGATAATCGTGTTTAAAAATTTATTCACATTGGTAACTTCGCCGTAAAGTTCGTTACTTTTCATATATTCTAAAAAGATTTGCTAATTGAGAGAATAGCAATGGCCAAGCCAATTTACATTAATACAACTCTGGGAAACATTGTTAAACATGACTTCGTAAATTGTTTCTTCTAATAGATTGAGGAGATATCTATATCAACAAAAGTACATTAATATGCCATTTCAGCTCCCCATGGTCTATATGGTTTCGAACCATTCGATGATACATAATTAAGTCCAGCATTTGGGTTATACTCTTGCGGTGAGGTAGCGGAATATTGATTTGGCACGTTACCATAACCAAGACCAGCAATTGCTGGTGTAACATTGCGATGTGTGGCATGACTCTGCGTACTTGTCAATTCAATATATGTGGCACTCTCCTGATGTGTCGTATGCTCTTGTGTATAGTGTTGCTGTTGTTGAGCCTGATGATGCGATTCGTGTGATGTTGCTGGTTGTTGAACGTGATTTGTTTGAGTTTGTGACTGATGTGATTGTTGTTGTGCTGTTGCGTGATTTATTAGTGGCATTGTTTCATTTGTTGTTGTACCACCAACGGAACTGGCGCGACTAACATGTAACTGCGATTGCGTCGCGTGTTGCTGTTGTATATGATTAGAGCTAGGTGATGAACTGAGTGCTGGATATGGATGTATTGGTGCAGGTAAATTAGGTACATAGGATGATGTAGTGCTAGCGTGTATTGATGCGCTGGATGGATATGTTTGATATGGCGCTACAGCGCAATTCGGTTGATAGGCTGTGGCCGCAGAAGCTGCCGACCAACTGCCGGGACTTGCACAACTTTTTGCTGATAATTCGCGTTGTTGTGCAAAGTACTGCAAGTGCGACATAAGACGTAAACGTAAAGGATCCTGTATATCCATACCTTCGATAGTGACTAAATAACGTGCAACCTCTGCTGCGCACTCTCTAAAACCGATAATGTGATAATCCATGGCAAATCGTTGAGGGTCATAGCTTAGTGAATCCATACCTGCTGAAATAGAAAAAGAAATTGTTGCTATCAGTAGAGATTCAATATTTAGTTCATTAGCTACAATAATATTTAATGACTATCATTGTTATTTCTATTTGAACGGTACAATATATGTTCCCACGATTTCAAATTTCATGCCAACACAGAAGAGGGTGAGTTTGATGTACTAGTACTCATTGCAATTGCCTTATCAAAGGAACACTTGTTTCAGATATAAATGGCAAACAATTGTTCGGTAAATAATAGGGGTGGTGGTGGTTGTTTGTGGGCTCGTTTTCTGTTAGTGGGAACACTGACTTACTAGAAGTTCGAATGTATAATAAGCAGCGTGAGAAAGAATATTATAACTTGATGAAACATTGACTTAAGGGGTTAATGATGCTTTTATTTGCAATTATGCACCTACTGGGATATCCTGCTTAAAAAACATATTGAATTTTTAATTGAACAGGACTTGTTGTGGGAATGAAGTTAATTCAGATTTTGTGAATTTTAATATATAATATTTTTAAAAGGGGGTTATGGTATTGTCAAAAAAAAAAAATTTATGTAGTTTTATATAAAAAAATTAATGTGGTTTTAAACAAAAAATTATAATTTCTTTTAAATGTAAATAATTATTAATATTATGTTATTTATATGTTAAAGGGATTATATATATTTTCAGAATCGGAAATCGGTGATTAATAATTAAATTAATATGAGAGTATATGATTTGTATATGATTTTTGAATGAATAAATCATAACTTTCTAATGCCCGTAAAGATGGATTATAGCCTAATTGTCAATTAACATCGTACTTAAGCAATAAATGGTATCAGTAAAAGCAGGTTATAGGTATACCCCAAATTTAATTATTTACTTCATGGATAAAATGGCAACTCAGCCATAAAAAAACAGTTCAAAGGTCAATAACTTTTGATTATTCTAAAATTTTTATTCACGGGTCTACAACAAAAAAAACTGGAAATCCTGTAAAGAAGCATAAAGCTTCTTACAGAAGTATGAATTAAATATGTTTGGAAAGTTTTTTAAAAGATTTTGAATGAAATTCTTTGTATTCAAAAAGGATATTGTTGACATCCTTTTTGTAATATCCGTATTTTTTATAGAAATCATATAATACAACGTTTATAATGGTCTTATTTAGTTTTTCATATCTGTATAACAGCTTGTTTTATTAGGCTGCCACCTATTCGGTCTTTCACATAAATATACAATAATTTTTTTAACCAATATTATAGGTAATGATTAAAAAGTAACGTATTTATCCTAAGCATTTGAATGATAAAACATAAAGTAACATGGTAGGACTTTTTCTGTAATTATGGTTGAACCCCGTCTTCTACTAAATATTTGTTGTATCGTATTTTCTTGTTTTTTTTTTTTAAATAAGATTGGATTATATAGTTATCAAACGAACAAAAATGACCACAAAACTGATATATTTATTTATTTCAATATATTGTCACATATTAAATTTTATAACTTTTTCATTAACCGTTTTGATTAGGAATGGGCTGTTACAATGGTCCCAGGGATTCACTTAAAATTTTTAATATTTCCAGTATGTGTATTGAAACTCTGTTTCAATTTTCTTAACCTTCTCATTAACCGTTTTGATTAGGGTTGGGCTATTATATTTTTAATTATTAATTTTAAATATTTTCGGTATGAGTATTGAAACTCTGATTTAAACATTATAAGATCCATTCATTCCTTTTATAAATTTTTTAAATTCATTTTTACGTTGTTTCTTTTTAGATAATGGAATTTATTTTGAACGTATTGGTTAAGTTGAAAACTTATATATTTTCATGTAATTATTATTGTTAAATTTATTTAAATAAAATTGCCACTTGAAAAAATATTATTAATCACTTTTTCCTATTTTATTTTAAAGTTTTTGGTTTAAATTTATTTTCGAAGTTGTATACTGAATAGTCTCTCTACTTTAAGAAAAAATTATAGACACTTTCTTAATAGACTTGTACTCACTAAACTCACTCTATATTTCTGTATATATTTTTGTATAAATTTAATATTTAGTCAGGTTCTTTTATGAAATTACCTTTCGATTGCAAATTTTTTAGATGCTCTACAGTGAGTTGTAGAATTTCCGCTTTCTCCAATTTAGCTGAACCTTGTTTTTCATAAGCAGAAGGTACTAGACGCTTAAGTTCTGATAATGAAGAATTTATACGATCACGTCGTTTCTTCTCAATAACACCACGTCTCTTCTTGCGACTCATTAGTTGACAACTACCGGGCTCACTGGGTGAAATTCTAGTTTATTAAAATAAAATCATTGAGTAAATTTTTCAAAAAAATTTAATTTAATTAAATATTTTAAAATTGTATAAGAATATAATTTTTTTTACATATAGTTAATATATTATATATAATTATTATAAAAAATTATATATAACATATTATTTTATCAATAAAATTTTATTTTATATAATTATATAAATAATATAATTATTTTATTATTTTATAAATAATGTTATAATGCAATGTATGTATAATATTGTATTTAATTTAAAAAAAAATTATATTCTTAAAATTTTTGTTGCTAAAAATACGCACTGTTCTTTGGACGATTCTTCAGAGAATAATTCTTCACAATCACTTTCAGACATTGCACGCTTCAGAGAATGAGTTTGTGGTGGTGGCACCCAATGATTTTGCGGCGTAGTTGGTACAGCTGCCGAACCGTAGCCCCAATGCAATGGAGTATTATTGTGCATATTGTGTTCCATTTTTAATTTTATATTAATATTTTATAATTGTTGTTAATTTTTTTATAAAATTTTAAATAATTGTTGATATTTTAATAACACTTTCAATATATGTTATTGTTATTTGCACACTTTTTTTTTTAAAAATTGTTAAGTTTAGAAATTAGAGAGTAGTGTAGTTTTAGTTTTCGGAAACTACCGGAGCTAGTTTTGAGCACGTGACTTATCGTGTGTGCGAACGACGTTCAACTGATTCTAACTCGCATGACCAACGTACGACGTACATGTGCCGCTGCACTACGCACTGTGCAATGTGTCGTCCTGCACCCCTGTCAATAAGTTTTGTAAACATCCGTGTACCAATAAGATAAGCACTACCCAACAACCCTTAAATTATTTATGTTCTCTCAACTTGTCCATTACAGAGTTTTCCAATAGGATATTATATTAACACATCCTTTGTACCTGCAAGCAAAAGGTGGCAGCATATATTATGATCAACATTGTTCTCTCACAACAGATGTAGTGCTATAGTATGTGGCAGGAGAGTGCAGAGTCTCAACTTATGGTTAATATAAATGTCAAGTAATATATGTAGTTATGTAGTTATCAAATGTTAAGTCCTTTTATTGCTTTTATTATTGTGTCATTTAGCTGTTTCTCATTGATGAATCAACCACAATTATATATTAGTATTGCCAATGGCGACGATGCAGACGTCGATGTTACTGCAGATGCTGCAACTGATAACTTCTTTTGAATTTGTCGCACTTTTGGCAATCAGGTTTATTTGTTTTTGATTGGAATTGTTTGCCTCCTGCTAACGGTCACGAGTTTGCCATGTTTCTTCACAAATAATGGAGCAGCACGCGACTTGGACTTAAAGGAACTGTTGTCGGTCGTGTGCGGCCCCAACAAGTGCATTGGCGAATGTTTGTGACCCAATTTTTGAAGGTCGTTGCATAATTTTGAAGGTTAGCACGAGCCGATTGTGTTAGAACGTTGGTCTAATCAAAATATGTTGACATGCATATATTTAAATAGGTAACAGGTGTGCCTTGTAAGGATTCCTTTAAATAAACTTCAAGAGTTTCTCCCATATGTAATTTTTATAAGAACTGGGCTAATTGATAAACACAATATTTTCCTTGAAAACTGATTTTTTGTAATTGATCCCAATATTTTTAAAAATCCATATTAACATAATAAGAGAGCTTTCTTGGAATTTATGACAATAATGTATATTGTGTGATTTTGGAACTTGTAAAATAAAGTTCAAAGTATAAAAATTTTACAAAAAAGATTTTTAAAGTAATATTATTCTAATAATATTATCAATATTTTATTTCTTATTAATTGCACATAAAATCGATGCATTGTTTTTATAATAAATTTCATTTTAAATAAGTGAGAATCATATTTATACATCAAAATATAAAATAAAAGATTGAATTTACTATAATTTATTTAATGTTGTAAAAATTTAAGTAGTTTCGTTCAATATAATAAAAAAAAAACCACTGTAACATATTATTTTACATAATTTCTTAAATATCGTGAGCTCCAGTACTCTTTGGGGGCTGTCAGTATAATAGTTATATCAATATTACATATGTTAATACTACCATAAACATAATAGCTGAAAATATATTTTGTAGATAAAAGTTAAAATTAAAAAGTTCAGATTTGTAAAGAATTTTATGAAATTAAAAATTTTCCGTAAAGATCAGTGTATTTACAAGTTTTTGGATAACTCTGGGTTACAATCTCTTTGGACTTTTGGCGTGATACGACTTTTGGGTGAAAAACATTGCCTGAAAAATTAGGTTTCCCTTTATGAACTATAATTTTTTGTCATTAAGAAAATTCTGAAGATCAAAAAAAAGTAGCCGTATTTTATTAAATCTGGATTATAAAATTGATATAACAGTTTCTTGCAAATTTCCAAAGAACTATATATGTAATATTTCGGCTTAACTAGATAGATTAACGGAAAAGCAAGCAAAGTCTTTTTTTTTCTGAAGTGCTTTTCCTTCAGTAGCCGAATTTTTTTCATTCAGAGTTACAAAAATATACAAACTTACGAAAAAAACATGTGAAGCAACAACAATGCTCTTAAAATATTCAGAGTTAGGTTTTACTCGCTAAAAATTTCGCGTTCATTAAATTGCAAAATTCATTCGTTAAAATAATGTGAGTAGAAATATATCAAAATAATAAGATAAAAATGGTTACTATAGCCCTTCTATTATACACTGCTTTTTATTATTTAAATTAATACAACTAAAAAATATATGCAAAAAAAGCATTTGACATTTGTTTCAACCAAACTTAATGCTGTTTTTTTACAGCTCTGAAAGTAAAAAATACGGCTAGTGTTATATTAAATTTATTTAGATGATGAAGTTAAAGTTATTATGTTTTCTCAGGAACCTTTCAATATCATTAATTATTCAACAGAATATTGTTTATGGTTCTGGTAGTATAAGAATAATCATAGTCCTTTACGTACCGCATTGTGGTATCTGATTCATTTGTTATCAGCTCTAAAAACTCTTGTAATTCAATTCAATTCCATTTAATTTCGCTTTATTAGGAATTTATCAATGAAAATTCTGTTTAGCTAAGTTTTCTAAACACTCAAGTATATATGACTCACGTCTCGATTTTCTTCTTTATAGCAATATTTATCTATTTAAACAGTTTATAGATTCATTATAATTAACAATAAGATATTTAGCGATATCGTGACTGCGCTACTAAGCATTAGGGCTACTAAAGCTTTAAAAAACTAATTTATTAAAACCTAACCAGAACTATTTTCCTTTTCACTAGATTCTTCAAAACTGATTAACATAATAATATGTTCATTCAACTATATTTAGCAAAGATCTAATAGTATTGGAAGCATCAGCTGAATAAATTGTACTATTTTATATAAATTGGATGAAAAGTTTTGAAAGTGAACCTATTAACCAGTAGAAGAATCGCAGTTTATACCCGATTTTTAATATTTCATCTTTCATCTGAACACATTTAAAGGTTTGTGATTTTGAAACAATGGAAAAAACCAAATATCGTTTAGTGATATAGTTCTATGTTTTAGAAAGTTTATCAGCAACAGAAATTCATACAAAAAAAGTGAATGTGTTAAAACAATCTGATCCTTCATTACCAACTGTGCAGGGATGGGGTTTAGAACCACATAGTGGGCATCCAAAATGTGAAACAACACCAGAAATCATTGAGAAAGTCTACGATTTTGTTTGTAGAGATCTAATTTTGATTAAGCGCGAATTTGCTGATACCATAGACATTTTGAGTGTCTATGGTATCATGGTACCTGATACCATAGATGTACGAGTAGTCTATATTTTAAGAGAAGAATTACATATAAAGAAAGTATTCAGAAAGTGAGTACGCGTTCGTTGACAATTCAACAAAAACTAAATCTCAGCGTAACCTGTAACGTTTTGAATAGAATGAAATCGATTTGAATGGATTTTATTAATCCAAATATATATTTTTTTTTAAACATCTTTTGTGTTTTTATACTTTCGTATACTTTTACTCGTACTCGAGCGAGAATGTGTTGTAAAAGCAGGACCAAATGATATTTTAATATTAAGACTCTACTGAGTATAGTTGACGTTATCCAGGATATGTCAAGTTCTGTATGTACTAGGTGTGGGTACATGTATGCATAAGAATGAATGTAAGTAAATAGTAATATGGCTAGTGAGGAAGAAAATTCATTATAAAATTAAAATAAAATAATTAATAAAATAATTAAAAATGAAATTATTTTAAGAGATATAATAACAAAGGAGTAATTGCGTTTTGTTCAGCTAATTTTCAGACTACATATATTCATAAATTTATTTTATTTAAAAATTAAACCTTTGAAATATGTCATCTAAGTGATTTAAAAAATTATGTTGTTTCAATCTATTAAATTTAATTATTTCTATTATCTCGTTATTGTAGAGAAACGCTTATGATCTCATGAAATATCCCTAATATATCCTTAATATCCTTAACAACATTTAAAATAAAATGTCTACGTCTTAATTCGGTAAAAGTATCGATTTTGAATAATTTCATAAATTTTATAAAGAAATGAATGAAATTTGATTTCTATAAAAACAATTTAGAAACATATTCCATAGAACGATATTACTGTTATCTGAGAGTGGTGAGTTCTTTGAGTTGCACTTCATCCCTATTTCAAATGCGCACATTATAATAATAACGATATCGAAAGCAAAACGTTTATGTATGCAAAAAGCCTAAGTTCATCGCCAGTACATTCGATGGATGGTTTAAGGAACGGCATCTCGTGGGAAAGCTACTGAGCAATCGTTTCTCACGCATGTTTGGCACGTGCAAGGCGTACTTCACTTCCATAAAAATTGGAAAACTGAACCTTTGAAGTAAGTTTAGTGCTTCTTCTTTATTGTCTACATTTTGTTACTATGTATTTATTTTTTTTTCAATTTTAATTTTAATGTGCACAAATAAATTTTTATTAATTACAATATATATATAAATGTGTTTTATAATGGCTTGCATTTGTATTTTCTTTTCATTATTTCGTTTTTTAGAGATAAACTTCAAGTGAAAGAGGCAGGTTTATATCTACGTGTGTCTAGAGGGATTATATTGTGTTAAATATGGACCTAAGAAAATCCCATACATATGCGAATACGTATAAAGTGTGACAAGTGGTAGAGCTCCTTGATTGCAAATAGTTAACATATAAGGTAACTATGGAATTTGATAACTTTAGATAAATAAAAATAATAAATAAATGTACACATATAAATATTTCATATATGTTAGTACATATGTATTTACACATGTATTGTGGTATATACATGAAGTTATATAGTTTCATGGAATATTAATTGAAATGAATACTAGTAAACAAAAATAAATTGTTTTATATAAATGTTCATTGTTGCTTGAAAATAAATAATTTATTATAAATTTCTATTATTCTTTTAAAATAAATTCTAGACACCATTTTATACCGATGAGATCCTGTATCTTCTTATTCTGTAGACTGAAAATCGGTTATACTGATCGAAATAATAAAATTGTTAGACAACATTTAAATTGTGAGGCCTTGATCTTCTAAAAGAACTCTAGATTTTATATAGAAAAATAAAATGGAAAGGATATCGGAAAATATCTGAAATGCGATATATATATAAAGACATTTCCTCTATAAGGAGATAGCTTCTGAATTGAAATATTTTAGCCTAGGAATTCTATTTCTTATATATGTGCAGTAAAAAGATGTGTCTTAGAAACATATATATATGAATATCAAAATAGCTACACCAATAAAAGGTAGAAAACAATTATTGACTTGTGTTCCAGACATTGTTGCACCACTTACTATAAGATTTATTGTATTGTACAAACTATTGATAAAGTTTCCTATTCGAAATTGGCTATATTTTAAAACTATTGCGAAGTTAAATGATATTATTTGACTCAAATTTTTAGACATGACTACCAGATAAATTACCTGAATTCGGTTTATTAGGGAATGGTTCATTATGTGTATTACTACTTCTTTAGGTGTAAACATTCTTTTATTCCAATTTTCGAAGGTAATAGCGACATATCTAGTAAGTAATCTGAATTTACATCCATTACGACTATAAAATTTGCCACTATGTCTAACAACATTTTCATGTATGAACAAAGACATCAGATTTATCATATTATAAAGCCCCGTAAAGCCCCGTATTTAGTGTGACTTAAAACTGTCCACAGATAAAATAGAGTAAAGGTGCTGATTCACCAACTCAGACATCTGAATATCAATGTATGAACTAAATAATGTTTTAAGAAGATTATAATTAATATTAATAATATTAATATTTAAGAACGCTAATTATATAATTATTCCTAATTTATATAAACCTAAAACTTGTCACATATATATGTATACGTGTTTGTGTAAAATATACTTCTTTGGAATGGGACTATAACTTTGACATTAGTTAACACTCAACATCTCCAAGTGGTGATAGAGTTTAAGAAGTTGGTATCCTGCAAAAAGGTTTGAGCACTATTAAATGACTTCTATGCAGGGTTAATAGCTATTTAGTTACTTTTTCATGGTAAGTGCCTAGCACAGTATATTGAAATATTTTTAAATCATATACAGGCAATTTAGTTTCCGTGAAATAAATATATAAATGATCTAAAGATATTTTTATGCTTATGATTGACCCTTATAGTACCAAAAATGTTCAGACATTGCTATTCTTAGCTGATGAAATGAACTCTTAAATCAGGGGTTTACACTTGGTTCATATCAAAGTGGAATATTTACAAAAAAATTTCTACAAATATCGGAATTTCAACATCCCATTTCTAGAACCTCAAATGTAGAATCGCTGACATAGTCCATAAAAGTAAATCGGAAATATCCAAGATAATATCGGTTCTAACGGGTCATTGTTCCATAAACACACCAAAATACCTGATGTATCTACAGATTCATATTGTTGAAATAGCCAGATAGTCATATAGCCTATTAACTCAGTTTTGTCGTTATAGGGACAACTTATTTAGGCTTTTATTTAGAAATTTATCAAAGATATTGTTGTGAATCAAGTAATTCTGAAAGAATTTAATAATTATGTTGTGTTGGTATTAAATTTATATAAGTTTATTAAATAAATTCTTATTATAAAAAAAATGATTAATAATTATTTAAACTTGTTTAACAACCTTTTTATTTTATTCAGTTTGAAAGTACAATAGATAAATAAATTTATTTGGTTTTTATAAGTGTAAACTTATATTTTGATTTATAATATTTTTTATCTCACTTTTTCAATCTTAAAGAGCACTTGTTTATATATTTAAGCTGTCGTAAGGCAAAAGTTACTATGCAGTCCTATTTGTTCGTGAAAGGAATTTCCAATTTGTTCATCTTCAATCCAAGTTTCAAGTGTTGTGGAACTGGAACGAAAACTAGATTTTTGAGATTCATCTGATTGATGAACACTAAAACGTTTACCGCGATTTTTATTTAATCTAAAATCATATTCACTCCAATTATCATTATTATACATTGTCGCATCAAATGGATTCCCATTTATATCCCATTTAAATACCGGAGCCATTTTATATGTATGCATTTCATCATCTGGTTTTGAAACCCTATCTCGTACTGCCAGCATATCATCTGCGGAAGAGTCTAGATTAAAGTTCATTGGAAAAAACTTATTTCGTTTGCTTGTGTATGGTGTAAAATGTAAATTATCATCGGTAGAATTATTGCTTATAATGCTATTTGAATCGGATAAGTGATAAGGCGTAGGTGTGAAAGTAATTTGTGCAGTATTGTCTAGGCTACAATTGGACGGAGAGTGGCGAAAATATCTTATATCCTCCCTGTACTTGACCTTCTCAAAAACAATTTCTTCATCGAAATTGTTTTCGAATTGCAAAATATCTGAAGTCGTATCGCTTCGTAATTGATGAAGACGATGAAATTCATAACCATCGGCGGTAAGGAAGAGCTTAGAAGTCAAACTTTGCAAAATTGAATTACCATGTTTACTATCAAAGCAAAAATGATTAAACTCATCTTCAGATACAAGATCTATGTCATTATCATAGGCTAGTTCCAGCGGTTTTGTAACATTATTATTGCTTGAGTTTTGTGTTATTGTTTGTAATTCAGTATATTGCGGTGCAATAGTGCCAACGTGCTCAGGTTCCTCATCCAATTTTTCTGCATTAGATGTTTTAGATGATAGTTTCCGCAATAACTGAAATGTGAATTGCTTTAATTCAATAATATTTCAATTTTTAAATTCATATAAATTTGTATTAAAATTTTATAAGCAAACAATTGATGTGATTATGTTGCAAGTATTTATATATTGCATTATATTTAAAAACATTTAAAATTATATAGAAATAACTTCTTCAAATAAATTTTGATAGCGTTGTTCAAAAATTAGTGAATAATGTATCTACTGCATTATCATATAAAATTTTATTAAAACCAACAGTCACTAGAGATGTTTTTGAGCCCAAAAATAAAATTTATTGATGTGCCTTGTTCTAAACTATTATTATAAGAGATTTAGATGTTTGATAAGCTGATACATTCTCATATATGCGTCATGTAACCAAAGATCCATAATACTCTTAGCTTCTAGGAGCTATAGCAAAGCTCTTGACTTAAGAATGTAAGAATCTGCATAAATGATAACGGATGTAAGGTTATGAAGAATGACATAAGTATGTTGACCTTAAAAGTGCTGTTATAATAGCGGTGAAGAAGCACTTGTAGGAGAAACGGGCTTTTGGAGCACATTACAAATTTCCTTTAAGTGTAGATGAGTGAATTCGATCGCATATGCTTTTGTTGTAAAAACAGATGAGCCAGCAGTAATAGGTTACACAACCTCCACCAAGGATTCCAGATGTTCCAGATATCTATGCATTGCTATATTTGGATATATAACATATAGATATATCATACTTTGATGACATAATGTAGGAATGAAGATTACGATTAATTTGTTAGTATTGTGAAGTAGCACAAATTGCCTACAAAGTGCCACATAATAATTTAATGTGAATCATAGACTTATTGTTGTTAATAATCTTGGATAAGATTTTGTAGCTGACGCATTTACCTCGCGATTCTATGGACTAATGATCAGTTACGGCTTAGCGGGGTACAAAATGGAGTTAAATTTACGTTAAACTGACACGTGATACTGAGAGCAAATTTTGTAGATGGGTTTTCAGTACTTGAATATAAATGTAAAAAGCACAGACGATTTTTTAATAAAAAAAGCAATTTTTGAATTAGAAGAATAACTAATCACTTTACTTTAGTATTACGTATTTGTATCAATTTAGCAATCGAAAACTAATTAATTAAAATTCAATTTGTAATTAAAATATTTTGAAGAAAAAAACACTTTCTTATCCACTCGTATATTATCCATTATTATTTTATATAATAACTTGTGTTCTATTGTTTGAAAAACATTAGAAGAACAAAATTTGATAGAATTGAAAATCATTCAAACTGATTCCAATTCATAAATCTAAAAGAGGGTGGCGATTTGATGACTAAATTAATATGCACGACATAATCGGACAACGACATAGTATGGCGTTCTGTAAACCATGAATGCCTACAGAATAGCATGACAAATATGTATAAATGACACAATTTTCTTGATATGTGGCCAACATTTTTTAGAAAGCCACTATAAAATTGAACTTCACATTCTGAGGTCAATTTCACAATATATATTGTATATATTTATAAGTGCTTTTGCATGTCTTTTGTGCAAGTATGAAATCACACCAGCCCATCTATTTGCCAAATGCATATAACCCAGCAGCAAAAATTTGTTAATGAAGTATTGTACAAGTAATGTAATTACTCTATTCAGTAATGGATTTTAAAGTGGGATCCGATAAAAATTCATATATAATATTTGTACTACTATCTACCATAATACATATAGTAGATGTATAAAGTATAAATATATTACAAATACATATTCTTTGAACGAGTGTTTTTCTGTGTTTATATAGCATATATTAATTTATTCAATATGTAGATTTAATATAATACAAGAATATAATTTGGAAGGGCACTAAGTTCAACCCTTGGTACTTGCAGTTTCAAAAAATTATTTACGAATAATTAAATATAAGAAATAATTCCTAGACCACTGATAATGGATATTTGGCAATACTCGAAACAGCTGTATGGTTAGCCAAAAAATTCAGTTCATTAAAATAATATAAAAAGAATTTTTGTTGTTGTAGTTCATTACTTTACAAAACCTCTCTATAATACAAGATATCAAAATGGGATTGTACCTTAAATATACGGAAAACAGAATTTTTCAATCTTTTAAAATAAATTTAAAAAAAATTAAAAATAATTTCAGTTGAAAGATTAGTAGAATATTAATTTGGTTAAGATGTTTAGGAATTTTATCGAATATTTGCATTAGTTATATGCCTATAAGTTATAACCTTATTAATCACAAAAATATTTTCTGATTTTGTTAACTAAATAATCAATCCCTTTTTTAGGATAAAAAGTAAAAAAATATATATATATTGTTTTGTAGTTCAACGGTTATGAGGGTGGAAATTTGATGGACAACTTGTTAAAAAGTTTCTTGCAATCTTACACATAGCCTAAGTAATCACAAGTTTACTTTTGGATTGCGTAAACTAAATACCAATTTTCGAAAAATTATTTTAGAAAAGAAGCAAAAAATTACTTCAAGTTCAAAAATCAAAGGGGGAAAGAGTTTTATTAAGAAGATATTTGAGAATTTCATCGTAAACACTTGACAGTCATATAAGAACTTACCCTTAATTCAAGTATATTTTTCTATCGAGTTAACGAATTAATCCACCATTTACTAAGAACTTGTGCAGAACATAAATCATTTTAATATATTTAAAAAATTGATTGATACGAGAAGAATGGCAATATTCTCGATACAAAATTTTAAGAGCCATAGATTATTTTAGACAACATTCATAGAATAGAAAGACTAGAAGGTGAAAGGTTATGAGAATCAATAACTATGAGTGTAATAGGATTTATTCTTGTATATCCGTGTTTATATGATTTAAGATTACATTTATTTATTAAATGTTTTTCCTCTGCTATTTATTTTAACAATTTATCCGTGGAATATTAACTGCTTTTTCTCTACTTATAAGGTAGATATTTGCTCAAAGAACATGCAGGTAAGACAGTATACGCTATATAAGCGTAAATTTGCATATAAGTAAATAAGCTAATATATACCCAATTGAAGAATTAATTAGATTAACACAAGTTGTATTATTATTATTTTTTGTAGACAATCAGGGACTTCGAAAGGCAATTGAATCCTGAATAGAAAAACTGAGGTTTGTAAATGAAAAGTCGAACCACACTGGTGAATATTAAGCATAACAGTGTATTCTTTTTTGGATTTAGAACAATGTGATATACAAGGGTAAGAGAAGGTAGACGAGGTTACTACAAGAAGCTCCAAAATGAGTATAAATGGGGTTGATACCTCAAATCAAACTCCGACGTGCAAACGACTTAGGTGTATAGATGAATGATGAAAACTTATGGACTAATTGTAAGGTTAGATAAAATTATAAAAAGAAATGAAATGTATTTAAACTTTTAGAAGTCACTGAATAAAGAGCGGTTGTGATTCGTACTATTGCGGCAATGTTTCAACTATGGTTGAAGGCAAATTGACTTCAATGTTCAGGAAATCATTTTTTCACTGACTTAGCAAGAATAACGTAGAGAAATTTAACGATTCTCATTAGTTTCATATGAAAGAACAAATGTTTTTATAAGGATAAGGCAGGGTGAAAATAATGGTTAGCTTAGGTCGTTCTTCCGGTAACTTTGATGACATCACAATAGGTAATAAATGTGCCTGTGTGGATCTGTGTCGAATTCAAACGAAAAATTGATTGTTCAATATTTTTGCAAGTTTTGACTTAGACCATTATTGAGTTGCAATACAATATCTCAGTATTATCTAAACAGTTGCGTAATATTAACTTAACTCAAATATATTGCTTTTCTAATATAAAAATTGTTATAGGTGGACTGAGCTAATAGTTGTTCGTACCGTTAAAATTGTTAAATATTAAATTTGTTAAAATACAAATTTGGTTTAGTTAATTGTTTTATAAAAATTACAAACTTGAACCTTAAACTTTTTTTAAAATACATACATTAAATTAATCTTTAAGCAACGTAAATATCACAACAAGAAAGCTTTATACAGTTTTATATTTTTACCAAATAAGAATTAAAAATAATTTAAATTAGAGTATATATTAAATAAACTGCATACAACTTAATTAATTCTTTTATTAAAACGTAAGTCGTTTTTTATAGACGTAACCTGCAAAACTGAAATCTACTTTTTAAAAATCCAAATATTAAAATAATATTCAAACAATATAAACCATTACCACACAAAAACTTTATGCTGCGTCATATTTATACCAAGTAAGAATTATAACCAGTTTTGATGATTTAAAAATATTTTTCTGCTTTTCAAACATTTGTTACAAAATGAATATCCAGTTGGTTTGTATAATTTAAATAATAACTCGAATAAACTAAATTGGACTACTAGAAAAGTTTAACCAACTTTGATTAGAACAACAGCCGTATTGATTAGAACAACTTCAATTTTCTACTGGGTAATAAATTAGTTTGCGATTGTAGGTTCTTGTCGACAAAATTCGTACTTGCGCATAAAATGCACATGTTTACCTATTTTGCGTATAAATAAATAAGTTTTTTCGTTAGATGTTGTGGTCACTCTAGTAGGCCATTAATTTAAGAATTAGCATACCTTCAGGCTGAGTAAGTTGGAATCAATAATATTGATTTCTTTAAGCATTTCACTCTATAATTTTGCGATTATTTTTTACACAATCACATCAATCGTTTGTTTTTAGTTCATTATTGACAATTAGTTATTATTTTTATTTTTATTTGTTATTACTTATTTTTTTTAATTTTAAATAGTAAACATATTACTCACCTTCAGGCACGTTTTCTTTGTGCGTTTCAATAGGTGTGACATATCCGTTCATATATTCTCCATACTTTTCATTGATGCAATGAATTATTTATTTTTTTTTTATATAAAAATCTGAAACTTGACATTAGATAAACCCGCGTTTAAAATATTTCCTGATTAACGAATTTCTCAAACATTTGATAAAGTAAATATTTCACTAAATCCGCACACATCCTCGACCAAAGCAGCAAACAATGTGCAATGATGGCGAATGTATGACTGATGGTCCTGCTACTGGCACCACTAGACTTAAAGTATTTATGCAGTGGATTTTATTGATTCTTTGGCTACTGGTAGTTGCGATGTATGAATAATAATTTATTGCAGCGCACAGGCGCAGAAATCCTCATACAATATGAGTTTGTCTTATCCTTAGTCGTAAGTGTTAAAGCACAACAAACTTAAACTTTTCTAATATTAAAGAACTTATAAAACCATTTCGGAAAATTCTCTTATCTCAGAATTTTACACATGTTTACATTTTGCTTTATTAATATGCAATATGTAAACTGACCTTTCACATTACAAAAGTTAGAGAACTTTTAGAGCGGCAAATGTAAATATTCTTGATCTTGTTTTGAAAGTAGAGAATGTAGTAGAAAATAAACAAAATATATGTTTTTTAATATTTTATGAATTTTTGAAATAACAAGAATATCATGTTAAATATTTATTAGACCAAAATTCTAAAACTGAGCGAGCAGTAATTAAAATGTTCTAATTTCGTTACAAAAAAATTCTTATAAAATTATTATGAGAAATAATATTTGGAAAAAAAGCTTGTAAAAATAATTATTATTCTTACAATATTAATTACTACAGATTATTAATTTTTTATTAAGTTATTGCTATTATAGATATGCTTTTATAATACAATGATCCTAACAAAGAGTACATAAAATAGATAGATTAGTTAGATTATTTGAGACAATAACTATTAAGTTGTCTGTCTTTATTATTTACTATATATTGTATTATATCATTACAACTTAATATACCGACTTCAGGAGTTTATAACACGCAATATCTACCAGATACAGAGCATGATTTTCTTGCTGAAGCGAGTCAGCTTTGGTGTTGAATGATCAGAGCCTTCGCCAGATGAAAGCCACAATTTTTTTCGCTTCGGATTTATAAGATAAATCTCTTTTTCATCACCCATCATATTTCTATACAACAATGATTTTTTTTGTGGTGTATAAGATATCACAAGCAACTTTGCGATTTTCCATTTGACTCAGAAATTCTGGCCATCAAACAAATTTCGTTGAACAAATTATAGAATTCAGTTAATTGCAAAACTTTATAACATTGGCGTACACAGGATTGTGCCAGAGGTAATGTACTAGAATGTATATTTTTTTGGCAGTGTTTTTGCAGTTCAGTTATTGTTTGCCTTATGTATTATATTGTCAGGGGAACGAAAATCTAACTCCAAATCCTTTACTTGAATACACCACTGCTGTTTATATAGGAATACAACACTGGACATATGCACTCAGGTCAATAAACTTTGAAATAAAAATAGAGCTAACTATTTCATAAATAGATGCTCAAATAAAAAGAAAAAACGAAAAGAAATATTTTAGAAGTAACAATATCACACCATGCCTTATATGATATATTGGGTCGTTAAGTGCAAACGATTACCTTCAATGAGAAAACTAAAGCTCTATTACTCGTAAATACAGGTAACATTCACCGAGAGTGAGAGTTGGTGACATTGTGATAATTGAGAGGACAGCATTAGAAGTAAAAGAAGTAGTTATGCAAAAACACTGCACTGCTTACAACCACTTTTCAAACACAACAACCTTAGCGCGAAGAACAGAAAGCTGATCTATAGCCAGATAATTAGACCAGCACTATTTTATGGGTGTGTCGCGTATAGCAAAGCTGTCGACTCTACTATCCAAAAGTTACAAGTTGCTCAAAGTCAGGCTCTCCGAAGGCTCTTCTAAGTGCCATCCGCACGAATGACATGCTAAGAGACCTTAGAATAGATACGGTCAAAAAATACATAAGGGACAGAGCTTTGAAACTATATGCGAAAACCGACAGGCTGCCCTACTTAGCACTATCTAACATAAGCTCAGAGATATCACTAATCGCACGGGGCGGTACGCAGATCTTAGATCAATCATTGAATAATAACAAATATTATGAGCAATACTCAAATTAGTTAGTGATATATGTGAGACTCTGCAGAAACTCACCAGCCATCATAGAGTAAAAGTGCCCAGATGCACTAACTCGGAAAAGGTTTAACATAAGGCTTTTTAAATACCTTAAATTTAAATAACAAAATACTTATATTACTTTAAGCTTCTTGCATTCATAAATAAAAATGTGTAGTTTACATCGGTTTATTCTCTAAATTTTACTTAATGGCGACAATAAATTATCGCACTGAATGGTTTATACCATACTTAACTTAATACGAACTTGATTAGTTTCCATCGCCTGTCAGAGGGTTAATAGTTAAAGAAAAAGAGATTTTGTCAAAATAGAACATACATAGAGATCGATAGTACCGTTTTTTTTTTATAAAATTATGTATATTTTTGTTTTAAATCTGAGTAGATATATATAGTTATATTATGTTGTTGCTAAAATTAATGTAAATACCTTTTTTTAAAATGATTTATATGTATATTAAGAAAAGGAAATTTGAAAAAAGTTTTAAAAAGACTTACCAAAACAGTTCTAAGTATTTCGGCCCTCTTTCTTTTTAATAAAAAAAAATTTGTTTTTAGTTATATGTACATATATCTGCAAAAAAAAAATAATTAAAAAATAAGTAATTTGGAATCAATATTTTTTACTATGATCCATTAATGTAGTTACTACATAAATGCTATATTTGAGAAAAATAGTATTAACCTCTATTCGAAACATATAGTATCGGGTCTAGTAGAAATAAAATTCATTATAAATAATTTTCTTTAAAATTATTATTTACTCAAAAAATATTTAAAAAAAACTTAAAACATTTCTAAGTATTTTAGGCCTCTATGTTTTTAATAAAAAATTTAAAACAGTTTTATTTAAATATTTATTTATTTTATATAGCACCGGGTTTGTGGTTTTGTTATCAAGTTAAATAATAACCTTTTATTGTCGTTATTCCTTTACTCTTGATTTAATTTAATCTTAACTAACATCAATTAGTTCAATATTTTCTTTCAATTTATAAATTGAAAATATTTCAATTTATTATAGCTGTTTTTTGTCGAGGTTTAGCTGATTTTTTGTTTTATATAAATTTAAAATATTATATTATAAATAAAAAATAATATTTAAAAATATTAAAATGTTATAAAAAAATATATAATAAAAACACTAAATTTATTTATTATTTAATTGATTGTATTTTCATAATTATGAGTTATGATTTCGTAGAGCATAATTGCTCCTTATAATATCCATTAAAAGGTTTTCTTTAAATAGCTCGCAAGGATATGTATATAATTCTTTCTTTACATGCCATAAATATTTACTTTAAATATTTACATTAAATATATACATATCAATCATTTTTTTCTGAAATCGACAAACTCGGTGAATAAATTTTTCACAGATAGATATGACTGGTGTTATATAAATATTTATCTTAGTTGTGTTGGGTGTATGGACTAAAACCGTCACCATACAGCACAATCAGTAACCATATTCTTTCATCGACAAATGTTAAAAAAAAGTTCTTTTTACTTTATTATGAAAGAAGTCCACACAATCTCTTAAAAAACATTTTTTATTCATTGTGTCTAAGCATTAAGTCTTAGCATATATTCCTATTTCCATATTTTCATGTATCTATAGCCAAAATTATAACTGCTAAGTGAGGAATCTGTGAACTCATCAATGTCCTTCCACAATTATAAACGTTGTTAAATCTATATTAATCATATTTCAATGGTGTTCCATAAGTGGAAATGATTTTAAAGCCTTATTAGTTATTATTATTAAAAAGAAGGGATTGTACACTGCGACTTAAAAGATCTATTGTGCCCCTTACTCGGCTCCATTAATGATGAAACAAAATTTCTAGTGAAGATTAGAAGATGAAAAGTCAGGGAAAAAGTTCTCACTATTTAAGTTTCGTTACTGTTTTATGATTATAAATAACAATGTACTGTTGAAGAAGATGTCTACAGATTATGGTTGTATGATTATAATAAATAAACAGTTTTTCATCAAATATACTGTTTTTAGATGTAGTCGAAACCTTACGACAATTAAGTACTGCTCACCACTCGTTTGCAACGGAAACGGACCAAACAGGTATCCTTTGGGTTTGTGGAATGAATGAATAACCATTTAGTTTTGTCAAAGTGTATGTATATCAATTTGTTATTCAAAATAATATACTTTATATTTAAATGATTGTTTACGAAAAATTATAAAATTTATTTAAAATTAAAAAAAAACTCCGATGACGGGTCTATGGTAATACTGAAGATAGCTGTATGGGCCCCAAAAATTCGATTAATTAAAAAAAAATTTTTTGTTGTTGACTGTTATTCCAAGATCTTTGATTAAGAATAAGCAATATTATTTCGGAAGAAGATGTAATAGATGTTTCACTATCAATAGGTTTGTGTTAGTAAATGATATTCTGAACGCTCTACGTACTGCACATCTGGAAGAACAGTTTTTTAATTAATTTATCAATGACAATATGAATTGTTTTTGTCCTAGGCAATTGAGAGATGTCACTGCATAGTTATCATTGCATCAATGATACTAAAATGTTGTTTAATATTTTTAATTAAACTAAAGTAAAATTTTATTCAATTTTAAATCCATCTTACAATTCAAAAAAATATTTTTATTGATTACAACAAATATTTTTTTTGGCAATTTATAAATCTTAACATGTAAATTTCATGTGTCTATTTTTGACATGATATTTAATAGGGCTTCTTATGATACTATAAAAAATTATTCCAAAGCATTTTGTAATGAATGAACATAGATATTTTTGTCTACTCTATTAAATGTCTTTTGCTCAAAATGTATCAAACTCTGCTTCTTCATCTTTAATTAGGAATTATTATTTTTGTTTACTGACATCATATATTAGAATTCCTAAAAAGATATTAATGTTTAGAGAGCTGATAGTCGTTATAGGTAGATCGCTGAAGCGGAAGGTGGCAAAAATCCTCCTTAATTAGTTAAGAAAGCCGTTTTGTTCCTATATTTCTCGTAATAAAGGGAAAAAAATTGTCATAATAGA